TGGAAAAGTGCTTGGTAATTTATAAATCCTTTGTGTGCGCACACTTATCTTCTTTGGCACGTCATTCTGTAACCTTGAGATAAAGAAGTGAATGACACTGGAAGCTGTTGATGCGTAATTAATCACAAGTGGACATGCATACTAATACACAGAATTACACATGCATGAATATGTGTGTCCGTGTGCTCACAGAAAAACATAATGGCATTCACTCTCAGAGGAATATTTTGCTTTGCATGAACATCTCATGACAGGCCACACTAGTGCACCTACAAATTATATGATGGCATCTTTATTCATGAACTTCGCATAAAAGTCACAGGTACAACCTGCAATACGCACTGACAAATGCGCAGTCTTTCTTCTCCCCTCAACAGCATGTGCATCACATATGGGTGTACTATGTATGATATACGATATAATCCCGGAGACATTTTCAACAGTGGAAATAATTCTGTGTCAATGTCAATGGAAAATGTCTTGCAAAACACAAGAAATTAGACTGCCTTCTAGTCCAAACATCAAATTGTATCAATACATCTCACAACACCAACCACAAGATTTTCCACCAAGTAGGCTGCTCCTGTCTATCCATTGTATTTATAGTGCAAAAAAAGTTTCTTTTTCCAGAAAGTAAAAAAGGCTTGTTCCTTGAACTTTTTTATCCTCATTTTTAGTATGAAAAAAGAAATAATGTTGATAAGAAACATCTGCACTAGCAATGTAAACATTCAGGAATAACACCTAATTTGTTCTCAATATGATTACAGCTAATATTAGAATAACTCGTAAGAATCAAGAGTAATGATTTGCACAATAGTTTGCACTACGAATAAGACCCCTGACATAATTTCTCAATTTAAGAAATTAGCGAAAGACTCCAACTCAAGCTTAAATTCATCTGGTTTTATTTTCAAGCACAGTTCAATTTCTGACGCGGCCATCTCGGTTTGTGGCACAAAACTATGGAATAAACTAGAATAGAGCACAAAGGTGCGCAACAACATAAAATGTGTTCAAAGTAATTACCAAAACCCTCGCAATAAAGAACCTGAAAGCTAATTTTATTCAAGGATCAGAAATAGTGCTCTGGCCCTGGGGGACTGAAATTTCTGTGCGCGCACACACACACACACACACACACACACACACACACACACACACACACACACACACACACACACACACACACACACACACACACACACACATGTATCCATTCATTCATTCATTTTCCAATCCGCTTGTCCTCACAAAGTTCGCGGGGGGTGCTGGAGCCTATCCCAGCCGTCTTCGAGCAGTAGGCGGGGGACACCCTGAACCGGTTGCCAGCCAATCGCAGGGCACACAGAGACGAAAAACCATCCGTGCTCACACTCACACCTTGAGACAATCTCGAGTGTTCAATCAGGCTGCCATGCATGTTTTTGGAATGTGGGAGGAAACCAGAGTACCCGGAGAAAACCCACGCAGGCCCGGGGAGAACATGCAAACTCCACACAGGGAGGCCGGAGCTGGAATTGAACCCGGTACCTCTGCACTGTGAGGTTGACGCGCTAACCACTGGACCACTGGGCCGCCCACACACACATATTGTAGAGAGAGAGAGAGAGAGAGAGAGAGAGACTGTATGACGAATAAGAAACATAACTTTCCTCCAGAACTACTCAACTCAACTCAACTGTATTTATAGAGCACTTTCAAACAGCTAGTTCAAAATGACACTATACCACATGGCTATTTAACTTTTGTCTGGAATAGGTAAAACTGTAAGGCAGGGGCCCCCAACCCCCGGGCCTCTGGCCG